CCCTGTCCAATAGCCTCTCAGCAACAGTGCTGGAATGTCTCAGGCCAAGCAGTTAGCCAGGCATGGACACAGCCGTATTCACAGGCTGCCTTAAGACCCTCTGAGCCCACAGGTCCAGAAACAATCAGAGGGCCCAGGACCCGCACATTAGTGCACTGGCACTAACCCTGGGACCCTGTGCACCCTGAAGCCAGAGACCCCTGGACCTGACCCCTCACCAGTAAGCCAGCATTAGCCCTTAGATTCCCTGGACCTCAGTGCAACCCATCAGCAGGCTGACATCAGCTCCAAGATCCCCAGGCCCTGTAGCCAAAGACTCCAGGATCTAGCTCAACATACCAATGGGTGGCACTAGCCCCAGGGCCACCAAATCCCCACACCCAGCCCAGAACCAGCAGGCAGGCACCAAACTGGGACCCTTATGCTCTGGCCCCACCCACCAGCACACCAATACCAGCTTTGGGATAACCTGGGACCCTCAGCCACTAGCCCCAGGATCCAGTTCTAGGACCTGGGTCCACTCACCAGCAGCCAGCACAAGCAATGGGACCCCCTGAGCCTTAGCCGTTCCAACCAGCAAAATGACACCAGTGGACTAACACCAGCCTTATGATACTTTGGACCCGACAGCAAGCTGTCAGGAACTGGTCCCATCCACTAGCAGGCAAAAAACACAAACGTATGGGGGCTAAACAATATCCTACTAAAGAACCAATGGATCACTGAAGAAGTCCAGAAAGAAATCAGAAAGTATCTAGAGACATATGAAAATGAAAACACAGAAACCAGAACCTGTAAGATACAGCAAAAGTAGTTCTGAGAAGTTTATAGCAATACAAGCCTACCTCAGGAAACAGCAACAACCAAAAAGATCTCAAGTGAACAACCTAACCTTACATCTAAAGCAACCAGAAAAATAAGAACAAACAAAACCCAATGTTAGTATAAGAAAATAAATGATAAATATCAAAGCAGAAACAAGTGAAACAGAGAATTTTAAAAAATAGAAAAGATCAATGAAACCGAGAGTTGATTCTTTAAAAAAAATAAACAAAATTGAAAAACTTTGAGTCAGACTCATCAAGGAAAAAAAAGGAGGGCCCAAATCAAGAAAACCAGAAATGAAAAAGGAGAAGTTATAACTGACACCAAAGAAATACAAAGGTTCATGAAAGATTACTACCAACAATTATAGCCCAATAAAAGGACAATCTAAAAGAAGCATACAAATTCCTAGAAATGTACAATCTCACAAGACTGAACCAGGAAGAAACAAAAAATATGATCAGACCAACTACCAGAAATGAAACTGAATGAGTAATTTTTAAACTCACAACAAAAAAAGTTCAGGACCAAATGGCTTCACAAATGAATTTTATGAAACATTTAGAGAAGCATTTACAACTATCATTTTTAAACTATTGCAAAATATTGAAGAGGTAGGAAAGCTTCAGAACTCATTCTACAAAGCCAGCATCACCTTGATACCAAAACCAGACAAAGATATCACAGAAAAAGAATATTATAGGCCAATATCACTGATGAAAACAGATGCTAAAATCCTCAACAAAATATTAGCAAACCAAATTCAACAATACATTAAAAAAAAATCATACACCATGATCAGATGGGATTTATCCCAGTGATGCAATATCCCAAGTCAATCAATCAATGTGATACATCATGTTAACAAATTGAAGAATAAAAATCATATGATCATCTCAACAGATGCAGAAAAAGGCTTTTGACAAAATTCAACATGCATTTATGATTAAAAACTCTCAATAAAGTGGGCATAGAGAGAACATACCTCTACCAAGGCCACTTACAACAAACTCACAGCTAATGTCATACCCAATGCTGAAGAGCTAAAAGCATTTCCTATAAGATCAAGAGCAAGACAAGGATGGATAGTCACCACTTTTATCCAATATAGTTTTGGAAGTCCTAACTAACCACAGCAATCAGACAAGAAAAAGAAACAAAAGGAATCCAACTTGGAAAGGAAGAAGTAAAACTGTCACTGCTTGCAGATGACATGATAATATACTTAGAAAATCCTCAAGACACCACCAAAAACCTTCTAGAGCTCATCAATGAATTGAGTAAAGTTGCAGGATACAAAATTAATTTACAGAAATACATTGCACTTCTATACACTAAGAAACCATCAAAAAGAGATGTAAAGGAAACAAACCCATCTACAATCACATCAAAAAGAAAATACCTAGGAATAAACCTACCCAAGGAGGAAAAAGAACTGTACCCTGAAAATGCTAAAACACTGATGAAAGAAACTGAAGATGACATAAACATATGGAAAGATACACCACATTCATATTAAAATGATCATACTATCCAAGGCAGTCCACAGATTCAATGCAATCCTTATCAAAATACCATGAGCATTTTCCAAAGAACTAGACGAAATGATTTTTAATATTTTACAAAAACATAAAAAACCTGAATAGTCAAAACAATCCTAAGAAAGAAGAACAGAGCTGGAGAAATCATGCTCTCTGATTTCAAACCATACTACAAAACTACAATAATCAAAACAGTATGGTACTGGCATAAAAACAGACACATAGATCAATGGAACAGAAGAAAAAGCCCAGAAACGAACCTACACTTACATGGGCAATTAGTCTATGGCAAAGCAGCAAGAATATACAGTGGGGAAAAGACAGCCTCTTCAATAAATGGTGTTGGAAAAACTGGAAAGCTAAATGCGAAAGAATCAAACTGGACTACTCTCTCACTCCATGCACAAAAATAAACTAAAAATGGATTAAATACTTAAATGTAGGACCTGAAACCTTAAAACTTCTAGAAGAAAAGATAGGCAGAAAGGTTTTTTGACATCAACCTTAGCAATATTTCTCTGGATATGTATCCTCAGGCATGGGAAACAAAAGCAAAACAAATAAATAGGTTTATGTCAAATTAAAGAGCTTTTGCACAGCAAAGGAAACTATAAACAAAATGAAACAGCCACATACAGGATGGGAGAAGATATTTTCAATTGATATATCCAATAAAAAGTTAATATCTAAAATATACAAAGAATTAATATAACTCAATATAAAAAAAAAGTAGAAAATGAGCAGAGGATCTGACCAGACATTTTTACAAAGAAAACATACAGATGGTCAACAGACACATGAAAAGATTCTCAACATCACTAATTACCAGGGAAATGCAAATCAAAATCACAAATATCACCTCTCGCCTATCAGAATGACTGTCATTCAAAAAGACAACAAATAACAAGTGTTATCAAGGATGTGGAGAAAAGAGAACCCTTATGCACTGTTGGTAAGAATGTAAATCGGTGCAGCAGCTATAGAAAACAGTATGGACATTCCTCAAAAAATGAAAAATAGATGTTCTATATTATCCAGCAATTCTATTTCTGCGTATTTATACAAAGAAAACAAAAACACTAATTTTAAAAGATATATGCACCCCTATACACATTGCAGCATTATTTACAATAGCCAAGATATGGAAGCAAAGTAAGTGCCCATCAATAAATGAAAGGA